TCACCTCACAGCCACCTACTGCAAGGAGCTCTCCTCCAGTCTGATGGTCAACCCAAGGCTGACACACCTGTGCCTGGCCAGGAACGACCTTGGGGACCACGGGGTGAGACTTCTGTGTGAGGGCTTGAGCTACCCGGAATGTCAGCTGCAGACCCTGGTGTAAGTCCCCACTGACTTTGTGTGTGTGTGTGTGTGTGTGTGTGTGTGTGTGTGTCCATCTGTCTGTGTGTGTATCTCAGTGTGTGTCTGTGTGTTGTGTGTGTGTCTGTGTTGTGAGTATCTGTGTGTATTGTGTGTCTCTGTGTGTTTGTGTGTGTCTGTGTGTCTCTGTCTGTGTGTTATTTGTGTGTATCTGTGTTTGTGTGTGTGTGCTGGATCCAGATGGACTTAATTCTCTGACTACCCTAAGTGTGCTGTTTCTGGTGACACCTGGGGAAAGGGTGTTGGGGGGGGGAGTACAAATGGTATTCTATTCTACAGGAATTGGGGGATGTAGCTGACTTCTAGGTTTGATTTTTTTTTAATGTTTTTTAAAAAGAATTGTATGTCCAAACCCGCATAATTTTATTAACCAATATCACCCCCAATAAATTCAATTTTAAAAATTAATAACGACTAAAATAAGTCACTCTAGCAGATTTGGCTCAGTGGATAGAGCATTGGCCTTCGGACTGAAGGGTCCTGGGTTTGATTCTGGCCAAGGGCACATGACCAGGTGTGAGCTCCATCCCCAGTAGGGGGGTGTGCAGGAGGCAGCCGATCCATGATGCTCATCATTGATGTTCCTCTCTCTCTCTCTCCCTCCCTCCCTCTCCCTTCCTCTCTGAAATCAATACAAATATTTTTTAATATATTTTATTGATTTTTCACAGAGAGGAAGAGAGGGATAGAGAGTTAGAAACATCGATGAGAGAGAAACATCCATCAGCTGCCTCCTGCACACCCCCCACTGGGGATGTGCCCACAGACAAGGCACATGCCCTTGACTGGAATCGAACCCGGGACCTTTCAGTCCGCAGGCTGATGCTCTATCCACTGAGCCAAACCAGTTTCGGCCAATACAAATATTTTTTTTAAATATATTTTATTGATTTTGTACAGAGAGGAAGGGAGAGAGATAGAGAGTTAGAAACATCGATGAGAGAGGGTCATCGATCAGCTGCCTCTTGCACATCCCCTACTGGGGATATGCCTGCAACCAAGGTACATGCCCTTTGACCGGAATCGAACCCAGGACCTTTCAGTCCCCAAGCCGATGCTCTATCCATTGAGCCAAACCGGTTTCGGCCCAATACAAATATTTTTAAAATATGTTTTTTATTGGTTGCCTCCAGCACACGCCCCGACCTGAGGCAGGGATTGAATCTGCAACCATGACTCCGTGGCTTGAGCTTGTCCATCACGGTTTGGTTGCGTCCCACCCGGGAGGACTAACCGTGTTGTGTTGTGTTTTCCTTCCTTCCAGGCTGTTCCACTGCAGCATCACCAGCGACGGCTGCGTCGCCCTCTCCGCGCTCCTGCAGGAGGGCTCCGGGCTCGCGCACCTGGACCTGGGGCGGAACCACCTCGGAGTCACGGGCGTGAAGTTCCTGTGCGAGGCTCTGAGGAAGCCCCTGTGTCGCCTGAGGCGCCTCTGGTCAGTCACGGTTTCTGTACTTGAATCTGCGTCTGAAATGACATATCCGTGTGACAGTCTCCCTCCCCTCCACCCCCAGCTCTTTTGGGGACAATATTGAGGTGTGTAGGCATGTCATTGTGCCACCTGCTCATAATGAAAAGGATTGGAGAGTCCTAACCGGTGTGGTTCAGTGGATAGAGTGTCGGCTTGCAGACTGGAAGGTCCCCGATTTGATTCCGGTCAAGGGCATGGACCTTGGTTGCGGGCACATCCCCAGTCAGGGGTGTGCAGGAGGCAGCTGATCGATGTTTCTCTCTAACTCTCTATCCATCTCCCTTCCTCTCTGTAAAAAATCAATAAAATATATATTTTTAAAAAGGATTGGAGGGTGGTAAATGCTGGGGTGGAGGCAGGGGGGGCTAAAAGAGGTCAGTGGGGGAAGGGGCTTGTGTAATACTTTCAACAACAAGGATATTTTGAGGACCCAACAGTGCCTCACACTGGTCTACTCCCTCCGAGCTTGGCAATAGGCTGAAGACCCAACAGTGTGCCTGGCGTATGGGACGGTACCAATAAGCACTGGTTGAATGAATGAGTGAATGAATGGATTTTTGTGCTTCACCTCCAGGTTATGGGGGTGTGGGATTATCCCGTTTAGTTGTGGGGACCTCGCGTCGGCCCTCAGCAGCAGCCAGCACCTCGTCAGTCTGGACCTGGGCCAGAATTCCCTGGAGCACAGCGGGATGAAGACACTGGCTGATGTCCTGAAACTTCCTAGCTGCCCTCTGCAGAAACTTAGGTACGACCCACCGAGGCCCCAGTGTTTGCGCCAGGATTGTAGATTTTAGGGGAGCACCAATGACAGGATTCCTTGTAGGCACAGCTTCCTCGAACATTCCGTTTTGTTTTTAAATATATTATTAATTTTTTTTAGAGAGAGGAAGGGAGAGGGACAGAGTTAGAAACATCAATGAGAGAAACATCCATCAGCTGCCTCCTGCACACCCCCTACTGGGGATGTGCCCGCAACCAAAGTACATGCCCTTGACCGGAATCGAACCTGGGACTCTTCAGTCCACAGGCCGACGCTCTATCCACTGAGCCACACCGGTTTTGGCTAACATTCTCTTTAAATCCATTGATGTTTGGGTCACCAGGTAATTTGTCTGTCAATGCCTTCTCTTGATTAGACCCATAAACCAGGAGGTCACGGTTCGATTCCCGGTCCAGGGACATGCCCGGGGTTTTGGGCTCGATAGTTACCATAGTTACCAAGGGGTGAATCTTAGAAATGGGGCCGGCTGTCAATCATCAGAGGTTAACTAAAGCATGGTTAGCCCTGGGTGGTGTTGCTCAGTGGTTATAGTCTCACTGAAGGGTCTCAGGTTTGATTCCCAGTTAAGGGCATGTGCCTGGTTGCAGGTTAGATCCCTGGCCAGGTCAGGCATGTGGGGGAGGCAACCAATCAAAGTGTCTCTCTCGCGTTGATGTTTCTCTTTCCCCCCCCCTCTCTCTCTCTCTTTCCCTTTCTTTTTCCCTCTTTTTCCCCTCTTTTCCTCTTTCTTTCTCTCTCTCTCTCCTACTCCCTCCCCTACTCCCTCCCTTCCTCTCTCAATAAAAAAATCAATGGGAGCCAGAACCAGTTTGGCTCAATGGATAGAGTGCTGGCTTGGGGACTGAGGGGTCCCAGGTTCAATTCCGGTCAGGGGCATGTACCTTGGTTGCGGGCACATCCCCAGTAGGGGGTGTGCAGGAGGCAGCTGATCGATGACTCTCATCGATGTTTCTAACTCTCTGTCTCTCTCCCTTCCTCTCTGTACAAAATCAATTATATATATATATATATATATATATATATATATATATATATATATATAATCAATGGGAAAAATACCCTCGGGTAAGGATTAATAAAATAAAAAGCATGGTCATGAGATAGCATCCTGTAGCCTAACAAGGATAAAAAGAAAAGCTGGTCTGGCTGACTTGGCTTAAGTCTGTCTGTCTCATCCTGGGTCCACCTACGTAGCAGAAGTTGACAGAGTGAGCTATGGGGCTGGTAGGTATAAGAGCCATGTCACAGGTGCATGCGTCCGTTCCATCTCTCCCACCAAGGAGGACGTGAAAATCACCCCCAAGAACCTCCGAGCACCCAAAGCTCGCCAGTGGCTTTATGCCATCAGGAGGGTCGCCTGATGCCATATTCCATCCCTACCAAGTCAATAATAGAACTGTACCAGGCATCATAAAGGTGGTCCCGTCACTGAAAATCCCTAACGCATGAGACGGGCAGGCGCTCAGGGGGTCTGGAATGAGTCTCCAAAAAAACCTTCAATGTCTCCTCCCTCTCACCGCCCCCCACATTGTACCACCAGGTTGAAGATCGATCATTCTGACGCCCAAATCCAGAAGCTGCTGGAAGAAATCAAGGAGGGCAACCCAAAACTGACCATTGAGAGGGACAACGAGGAGCCCAAAAATCACAGGCCTTCTTCTGCAGACTTTATTTTCTGAATCCCTCACCTGCCCCCTACCCCCCCCCCCCCCCGAGTCATTCGTTGTCCCCATGGATCTTCTGTTCGAATGAGCCCGCGCAGCGACAGGAGTTGTGGGACCCGATGGGCTCAGAGCCTTGGCTGCACCCTCCCCCTTACACACAACACGCCCGTGTCACTTCATTCTGTCACGACGAGCTCCCCATTCACGAGTCTATCAAGAGAAATAAAGGTGAAAGCACTTGAGGAGGTTGTATTCATTGGCAGAGTCAGACCAGATGCAGAGGTCCACCCAGGAGCCATCGGAGAGAAGGCTGAAGAACGAGGGAAGCCCAGCCTGTGGCTCAGTGGGTTGAGCGTCCTCCCATACACCAAGAGGTCCCTGGTTCGAATCCCAGTTGGGACACATGCCCGGGTGGATGGTGGGCTCCATCCCCAGTAGAGGGGTGTGTGAGGGTCAATCAATCGGTTTCTCTCTAATCAATGTTTCTATCCTCTCCATTTCTCTAAAAATCAATGAAAACATTTGGGGTGGAAAGGGGTGTTGCTCCTGTAGATCCCTTCGCCTCCCTCCCCCTGCCTTCCCTCTCTTAACAGGTGCCCTGCCCCATCAGCCACTCTGTGCCTGGGTGGCTGCCATCTTTGTCCTAATTTGCATATTCCCTCCTGATTGGCTGGCAAGCATAGCGGAGTGATGGTCAATTTGCATGATTCTCTTTTATTAGTGTAGATAAGTTCTTTGGTTAATCAACAGAAAGCCTCGTGCACTTGACCTTAAAAGCTGAGAAGCAATCGGAAAGCCAAATAGACACTGACTCAACAGCTCCTTGACAGAGCACCAAGAAGACACAGACACACACACACACACAAAGTTCCCCTCCCTGCTCTCATGACCTCTTGGATACAACCACGTGAGGTTCTGATGGTGGTAAACCCTGGGGATGGCCAGCTGGTCGACCCCCATCCAGACTGCCCTGTGACTTGGGGGCCTGCGGGAGGGGTGGGAGTGGCCTGTGGACAGCTGGAACCCAGAGCAGCGGGAACTTCTTCCGGCTGTGCCAGTCTTCTACCAGTATGCCCACCAGGATCAGGATAATCGCAGCCCCGAGGCACAGCCGGATCACGTTACCCCTGGTGTAGTCCTGATGGGTGAGGCCTGGGGAATCAAGAGGATCGGGCATCCCGTTATGGGCTTCTCCTAGCAGTGCTCCCTCACCTTAGGTCCTGTGACTCTCTGCTCGCTGGGATGCCAACCTCCAGCCTGGAGGGCCACTCCATCCCCCTCCCCCAGGGTCAGAGAAGCCCAGTTCCCTGAGTATAACCTCTTCCATCATCAGGCCTCCAATGCAACCCGCCCCCTACACAGACACTCCCTGGCTATTTGGCGAATTGTGGGAGAAAAGGCTACTCTGAGGGGTGGGGGTGGAATGGATTTTGCTCTGATCCTCTAGCCCAGTGGTTGGCAAACTCATCAGTCCACAGAGCCAAATATCTACAGGACAACGATCAAAATGTCTCTGGAGAGCCACATTTTTTAAACACAAACCTCTTCTAACGCCACGTCTTCGACATAAGCTCCCCCAGGCCGTGGTATTTTGTGGAAGAGCCGCACCCGAGGGGCCAATGAGCCGCATGTGGCTCTTGAGCCGCGGTTTGACGACCATGGCACTATAAGCCCTCAACCTTCCCCAGTCTGAGCTCCATGTGCTATTCCTTCCCCTCCCCTTGACACAGGGCGAATTGGGGCCCAAGATCCCAGAGCTATCGCTTCAGTGGAGGGAAAGTGAGTTTTAGATAAAGACACAGGGGTAGGGAGAAGGAAGATCCAGAGAGGAGGACCCCTCACCCATCATAGAGTCTGGCCCCCCTGAGAAGAGGGTGGTGTCCCTAGAAGGCACTGGGATAAAAAAAAAAATAATAAAGAACAAACTGTTGAATATCAGAGGGTGGGTGGGTGGGAGTGGGTGGGTGGGTGGATAGATTAGCCCAAAGAACGTGAACACAGACAGTGGTGTGGTGAGAGCCTGGGGCAGAAAAGGGTAGGGCTGGGGTAGACGGGATAGGGAGGGAACATATGTAATACTTTCAATATCAGCGGCTGTGTATCACTGCAGGTTGCCCAGGACCAAACCAGAGAGGGTTGGACCTGCATTTGTCCACATAGAACTGAAATATCATGGCTGACATGTACACATAAACTGTTAGACATTGAAATTGGGTCTCAAAAGACCTGGTGGCCCAGAAAGAAACTCTCTACAGACTGATGCATCTGCCTCTCAGCATAATGATTATTGCTTGTCTCATCTTTGATTCTTATATTTCCAGTAGGACATGATCTCACTCATCTAGGGGAAATGGTGAACAACATAGACTGATGAACAAGAACAGACCCAGAGACCAGGAGCCATGGGTCAGACTGTTGGATCTCAGAGGAAGGGTGGGAATAAGAAGGAGAGATCAACCAAAGGACTTGTGTGCACACATATGAGCCTAACCAGTGGTCAAGGACAATAGGGGGGTGGGGACATGAGTGGGGGGGCGGGGGGATTGGAATGGGGGTTTGAGGATACATATGTGATACCTTAATCAATAAATAATAAAACAATAAAATAAAATAAAAATCAGAAAAAGAGACGCAGGTGGGGAGAAGGAAGGTCCAGAGAGAACCCCTTACTCACCAGTTGTAGAGTCTGGCCCCCTTGGAGAGGTGGTGGTGTCCCTAGACGGCGCTGAGATAAAAATAAAAAAAAATTTAAAAGGAAGAACACGGAAGCATGGAACAGACTGTTGAATCTTAGAGGGAAGGTTCTTGCCCATGTGCACCACCCATGGGCATGGGAGACGGGAGTGTGGTGATGACCTGGGGTGGGGGCAGGTGAGGGCTAGAAGGGGTCAACAGGGGAAGGGGAGTCAGCTATAATATTTTCAACAATTAAGTGTTGGGTTTTTTTTAAGGGAAGGGTAAAGGAATGGGGCTATCTCCTTTCCCCCATCTATGTGAAAATTAAACTAGTCATGGCCCTGGCTGGGTAGCTCAGTTGGTTAGATATTCCACCATTGTGGGTTTGGTCCCCCATCAGGGCACAAACAAGAATCCACCAAGGGCCCTAATCGGTGTGGCTCAGTGGACAGAGCGTCGATCTTCGGACTGAAAGGTCCCAGGTTCGATTCCGGTCAAGGGCATGTACCTTGGTTGCAGGCACATCCCCGGTAGGGAGTTGCAGGAGGCAGCTGGTGTGATGTTTCTCTCTCATTGATGTTTCTAGCTCTCTGTCTCCCTTCCTCTCTGTAAAAAAAAAAAAAATCAATAAAATATATTTTTTAAAAGTAAATAAATAAGTAAAAAGTAAAAAGAGTTGGTCAATGGCCGTGGCTGATGTGGCTTCGCTGGTTGGAGTGTCGTCCCATGGTCCCAGAAGTAGGTTTGATTCCCAGTCATGGCACGTGCCTATGTGGTGGGTTGGATCTCTGGTCAGGTCACCTATTGGAGGCCAACCAATCAATGTCTCTCTCTCTCTCTCTCTCTCTCTCTCTCTCTCTCTCTCTCTCTCTCTCTCTCCCCCTCTCTCCTCTCTCTTCCCATCCCTCTTTTTCTGTAAATATCAATAAGTGTGTCCTCAGATGAGGATGAAAAAGAGGAGGTCCAGGTGCCTTGGACCCAAGACACTGGGGTGAACCCCTCAGGACTTACGTGTTGTAGAGGAAGGTGCCTCTGTGGGTGACGGGCTGGCTGTGCTGGAAGGCCCTGAGAAGTGAGAAAGAGAAGGAATTCTGTGGCCCGTTCGCTGTGTTTTCCACCACCCGTGATTCTCTCTCATCATGGATGTTTCTCTCCTTCTCTCTCCCTCTCCCTTCCTCTCTGAAGTCAACAAAAATATTTATTGTAATTTCCTTATTGATTAAGGTATCACATATTTGTCCTCAACCCCCCATTTCAATCCTCCACCATTCATGCCCCCACCCCCCTAGTACTTGACCACTGGTTAGGCTCATATGTGTGCACACAAGTCCTTTGGTTGATCTCTCCCTCTTATTCCCACCCTCCCTCTGAGGTCCAACAATCTGACCCATGGCTCCTGGTCTCTGGGTCTGTTCTTGTTCATCAGTCTATGTTGTTCACCATTTCCCCCAGATGAGTGAGATCGTGTCCTACTAGAGATATACTTATAAGAATGAGAAAACGAGACAAGCAATAACCGTTATGCTGAGAGGCAAATGAATCTGAGCTTCTTTCTGGGCCACCAGTTCTTTTGAGACCCGATTTCTATGTCAAACAGTTCCTTATGTGTACCTGTCAGCCATGATATTTCAGTTCTGGATGGTGGGCACATGGTGGTCATGCAGGTCCGACCCTCTCTAACAAAAATATTTTTTAGCCGAAATGGTTTGGCTCAGTGGATAGAGCGTCGGCCTGCAGACTGAAAGGTCCCAGGTTCGATTCCAGTCAAGGGCATGCACCTTGGTTGCGGGCACATCCTCGGTGGGGGGTGTGCAGGAGGCAGCTGATCGATGTTTCTCTCTCATCGATGTTTCTGACTCTCTGTCCCTCTCCCTTCCTCTCTGTGAAAAATCAATAAAATATATTAAATATATATATATATATTTTTTTTTTTTTTAAAGACTCCTGGGAGAGAAGAAACTCCGGCGTTGGCATACAGTCCACCTTGGCACCCCTGGGCCCCTCCCCCGGAAGCTGGCCTCAGGGTCCTCGAAGACAGGGGAGGAGGGAAGGCCCCGCCCAGCCCCTTACCTGTGACCATGAGCTCCAGGGGGTCGCTGGGGGCAGACCACAGGTACGGGTTGTTGCTGGGAAAGCTGTAGCACCGGTAGGTCCCGCTGTGGGCCGCCGTGACGGTGATGATGGGGAAGTCGGCCTGGTACCAGCGCTCGAGGCCCTTGTCCTGCCCCGGGTGCCCCTTCTTGTACAGGGCGTACTGGTGGAAGCTGTACTGGCTCCGGCACTGGAGCGTCACGTCCCCGCCGGGGGGCACCGCCGGGCCGGGCTGGGCCGAGAGTGTGGGCTTCTTGAACACGCCTGCGGGCAGAGGGACTCTGGTAGCAAAGACAGAGCATGGTCCCCTGCAGGGAGGTCACCGGTGCGACTCCCAGTCAGGGCACACGCCCGCCTTGTCAGCTCGGTCGCCAGTAGGGGGCGAGCAGGAGGCAGCCCGTGGATGTTTCTCTCTCTCTCTCTCTCTCTCTCTCTCTCTCTCTCTCTCTCTCTCTCTCTCTCTCTCTCTTTCTCTCTCCTCTCTCTCTCTTTCTCTTCCCCTTTCCCTTCCTCTCTCTGAAATCAATAAAAACATACGTTGTTGGGTTTTTTTTTAATGTACAAAGTTAGCTCTGACCAGTTTGGCTCAGTGTATAGAGCGTCAGCCTGTGAACTGAAGGGTCCCAGGTTCGATCCTGGTCAAGGGCATGTACCTTGGTTGTGGGCACATCCCAAGTGGGGGGTGTGCAGGAGGCAGCTGATTGATGTTTCTCTCCCATCCATGTTTCTAGCTCTCTATCCCTCTCCCTTCCTCTCTGTAAAAAAAATCAATAAAAATATTTTTTTTTAATGTACAAAGTTAGCCCTAGTGGGTTGGCTCAGTGGGTAGAGCGTCAGCCTGCAGACTGAAAGGTCCCAGGTTCAATTCCAGCTAAGGGCACATGCCCGGGTTGTGGGCTTGATCCCCAGTGGGGGACTTGCAAGAGGCAGCCAATCCACCATGATTCTCTCTCTCAACATGGATGTTTCTATCTCTCTCTCTCCCTCTTCCTTCCTCTCTGAAATCAATAAAATTATCTTTGGGGGAAAAAATTGTACAAAGTTAAACATCATACCCCTGGCCAGTTTGGCTCAGGGGATAGAGTCAACCCTCAGACTGAAGGGTCCGGGGTTCAAGTCCCATCATGGGCATGTATCTCAGCTGTAGGCTGAATCCCCCAGCCCTGCCCGGTCGGGATGCATGTGAGAAGCAACCAATCAATATGCCCCAAGTGGGGATGGAACCCTAAACCTAGGTTTGTGCACCGGATAACGCTCAACCAACTGGGCCACACTGGGTGAGCTTCCCTCATTTTATTATTATTATTTCAGAGAGGAAGGGTAATGGATAGAGAGAAAAATAAATAAATTATGAAAGAGAATCATGGATCGGCTGCCTCCTGCACACCCACACTGGGTATCGAGCCTGCAACCTGGACATGTGCCCTTTACCGGGAATCAAACCATGATCTCCTGGTTCATAGGTCAATGCTCAACCACTGAGCCACATGGTCCGAGCTTCACAGTGGCCTTTGTAAGCAGCTATTGCACTAGCCCAGCAGTCGGCAAGCTCATGAGTCCACAGAGCCAAATAGCAACGGCGCAATGAGTGACATTTCTTTGGAGAGCCACATTTTTTAAACTTCAACTTCCTCTAACGCCACGTCTTCCACACAGACTCGCCCAGGCCGTGGTAATATTTTGTGGAAGAGCCGCACTCCAGGGGCCAAAGAGCCACACACATGCAACTCACAAGCCGAGGTTTGCCGACTAGGGTCCTAACATAGCATTGACCTTGATAGCCTAATTAAGGGGGGCACCTCCCCAACATTTCGCACGCAAGCCCAGGGCCTCACTGCCCCACCCTAGTCCCAGCCCCGGTAGACCCTGCGGTTCCCACAACCGTCTCCCCTCATGTCACCCCCTTCAGGCCCAGAACCAAGCACCACCAGCCCTGAGGCCGCACCTCCAGCCTCAGCCCACCCGCCCCGTCCTGTCCATCCATCTGTCCATCCGTCCGTCTGACCGTCCGACCGTCCGACCGTCCGTCTGTCCGGTTACCGGTGGCCACCAGCTTCAGCTTCTCGCTGGCCGAGGACCAGCGGCTGCCCTTCTGGTAGGAGCAGCGGTAGAGGCCGGCGTCCCTCTGCCTCATGGCCGGGATGTAGAGGGAGTCCTTGTCCTCGTACTTCCCCTCGTCCGACCCCAACCGCAGCTTCTCCAGGCGGTACACGGTCACGCCGGGCGGGCCCTGGCAGAGCAGGTTCACCGGCTTGTCCAGCGGCACCAGGGCACTGGGCAGGGCCTGGAGGGTGGGCGCGGGCAGGGGCTCTGGGAGGGAAGCAAGCAGAAGGCCGTGGGGGTCAGCCGGGCCCCCCTCTGGATCCCCCCACTCCACCCCCAGAGGAGGAGTCCCCACTCACTCACCGCCCTGCGCCTGGACCACCTGCCGCAGACACAGCCCTGGGGACAGAAGGGAAGGACCAGGGCTAGGGCGTCCGGGACCCACACTTCCAGTGGGCTGGACCCCGGGACCCAGCGGGGGCAGCCTTCTGGGCCTCCGGGGGGCGTTGGTTGTGGAAGACACACAGGCCCCTATAGACAAACCATGGCTCGAGAGCAACACACGGCTCTTTGGCCTCTTGGGTGTGGCTCTTCCAAAAAATACCACGGCCTGGGCGAGTCTATACGGAAGACGTGACGTTAGAAGAAGTTTAAGTGTAAAAAATGTGGCTCTCTGGCCAAAACCGGTGTGGCTCAGTGGATAGAGAGTCAGCCTGTGGACTTAAGGGTCCCAGGTTCGATTCTAGTTAAGGGCATGTACCTTGGTTGCGGGCACATCCCCAGTGGGGGGCGTGCAGGAGGCAGCTGGTCGATGTTTCTCTCTCATCGATGTTTCTCTCTCATCTATGTTTCTCTCTCATCGATGTTTAAAATATTTTTTTTAATGTGGCTCTCCAATATAATATCTTAATTAAAAAAAGAAAAAGAAAAAAGAATAATAAATGATAACTCTTAAGCATGAAAAAGAAAAATGTGGCTCTCCAAGGAAATTTCTTTTTTTTTTAACTATATTTTATTGATTTTTTACAGAGAGGAAGGGAAAGGGATAGAGAATTAGAAACATTGGTGAGAGAGAATCATCGATCAGCTGCCTTCTGCACACTCCCTACTGGGGATGTGCCTGCAACCAAGGTACATGCCCTTGACCAGAATCGAACCTGGGACTTTCCAGTCCGCAGGCTGACGCTCTATCCGCTGAGCCAAACCGGTTTTGGCTCCAAGGAAATTTCAGTCATTGTCCTGTTGATATCTGGCTCTGTGGACTGATAAGTTTGCCCACCACTGGCCTAACGGAAGTGAGGGAGGCTAACAGGATGGGCCTGTTTCCTGTGTAGGCAGCAGCCAGCGGCCATTGACGGGGCGGAGAGTAGTGGCTGGCAGTGGCCAGGGGAAGGGAGGGAGGGAGGGAGTGTTAAGGACAGGGTTTAATTGTTGCTAATCCTCACCGATGCTATTTTTCCCATTGCTTTTTATTTTTTTATATATTTTATTAAGTTTTACAGAGAGGAAGAGAGAGACTTAGAAACATCAATGAGAGAGAAACATCGATCAGCTGCCTCCTGCACACCCCCCCTGGGGATGTGCCCACAACCAAGGTGCATGCCCTTGACCGGAATCAAACCTGGGACCCTTCAGTTCACAGGCCGATGCTTTACCTACTGATCCAACTGGTCAGGACTGCTTTTTATTCTTTTTAATGTATATTCTTTTTATTGCAGAAAGGAAGGGAGAGGGAGAGAGAGAGAGAGAGTCTGCTGCCTCCTGCACACCCCACTCTGGGGATCGAGACCACAACCCAGCCATGTGCCCTGACCGGGAATCGAACCAGGACCTCCTGGTTGATGGTCAACCACTGAGCCACATCATTAGGCTCCATTGCTTTTTAGGAAGAGTGGAAGGGAGGGAGGAAAAGGGTGAGAGAAAGAGAGAGAGAGAGAAACATCAATGTGAGAAAGACACATCGATTGGTTGCCTCCCACACACATCCACACCGGGGTTGAGGATCAAACCTGAAACCAAGGTGTGTGAGGAGTTTGGTTTTATTTTAAAGATGTTGTAGTGGGCCCTAGCTGGTTTGGCTCGGTGGATAGAGTGTCAGCCTGTGGATTGAAAGGTCAAGGGCACATGTGTGGGTTGTGGGCTTGATCCCCAGGAAGGGGCGTACAGGAGGCAGCCGATCCATGATTCTCTCTCATCATGGATGTTTCTATCTCTCTCTCCCTCTCCCTTCCTCTCTGAAATCCATAAAAATAAATAAATAAATAAAAAATTAAAAAGTGGAGCCAAAATCAGTTTGGCTCAGTGGATAGAGCGTCAGCCTGCGGACTGAAGGGTCCCGGGTTCAATTCCGGTCAAGGGCATGTACCTTGGTTGCGGGCACATCCCCAGTGTGGGGGTGTGCAGGAGGCGGCTGATGGATGATTCTCATCGATGTTTCTAGCTCTCCCTCCCTCTCTCTTCCTCTCTGTAAAAATCAATAAAAAATATTTTTTTTTTAAATAAAAGATGTAGTGAGAGGAAGTTTAAGCCAACGCCAAGCGTGTTTTGTTCATGTCCTGCCCGGGCCGTGAAGAGACTGGGAAAACCCAGACATGTTACCCCCTGGGTCCCTCCCACCCAACACCGGGCCCTCGCCTCTGCCTCTTGCTCTGAGATCCATCGCACTCGAGTGCCGCCTTCTAACAGTTATCTGCCTGGTTCCCCCCTGCCTGTGGACAGCCCCTCAGCGCCTCCCGGTCCCGGTCCACCCTCCGGACTCACCGAGACAGAAGAGGGCAGCCCGGGCAGACGGAGACGGGGCCATGGCTCCGAGGCCGGTCCTGGGAGCTGTGAGGGGCGGGAGCCGGACACCGGACACCGGACGGACGTGAGGAGGAAGAAGCGTCCTCCCTCCCCTCCCCGCCCGCCTGGTCTTTCCCAATGGAGACTTATCAGGCCGGGACTGTGCCTTCCCCTGGCCCCCGGCAATGACTGGCACACCGCACCCGGGAGCCTCGCTTATCTCCTGCCACCAGGCACCCGAGGGGCTTCCACCTGCCAGTCTTCCCACAGAGGCAGATCCAACCCCCTCCACCAGCCCGGCCAGCACTGCTCAGTGGTTAGGGCACCAGCCCCGAGCACAGAGGGGTCAGGAGTTCGATTCCCGGTCAAGAACACACACCTGGGTTGCAGGTTCAAACCCAGGCCCTGGTCAGGGTGTGTGTGGGAGGCAACCAATCGAGGTGTCTCTCTCATGTCAATGTCTCTCTCTCTCTCTCTCTCTCTCTCTCTCTCTCTCTCTCTCTCTCTCTCTCTCTCTCAATGGAAAAGCCCTAGGTAGTTTGGCTCAGTGGATAAAGCATTGGCCTGCAAACTGAAGGGTCCCAGGTTTGATTCCAGTCAAGAGCATATGCCCGGTTTGTAGGCTCCATTCCCAGTGGGGGGCATGCAGGAGGCAGCCGATCCATGATTCTCTCTCATCATGGTTGTTTCTCTCTTTCTCTCTCTCTCTCTCTCTCTCTCTCTCTGTCTCTCTCTCTCTCTCTCTCTCTCTCTCTCTCTCTCTCTCTCTCTTTCTCTGCAATCAGTAAATATTTATATTTGTTTTTTATAATAAGTCTTTATTGTTCAGATTATTACAGGTATTCCTCTTCCCACCCACCCCCAATAGCTCCTCTCCACCTGATTCCCAACCCCACCCCATGCCCTAACCCCCACCACTGTCTTCATCCATAGGTGTAAGGTTTTTGTCCAATCTCTTTTCTCACCCCTCAGACCCCCATCCCCCTGAGAATTGTTAGTCCAATCCCTTTCTATGTCCCTGATCCTATTGTATTCACCAGTCCATTTTGTTCTTCAGATTTTTTTATTCGCTTGATTTTTAGATTCACTTGTTGGTAGGTATGCATTTGATGTCTTTTTGTTGTTCATAATTTTTTACCTTTACCTTTTTCTTCTTCTTCCTCTTTTTAAAGAATACCCTTCAACATTTCATGTAATTCTGGTTTGGTGTTGATGAACTCCTTTAACTTTTTCTTGTCTGTGAAGCTCTTTATCTGACCTTCAATTCTGAATGATAGCTTTGCTGGGTAGAGTAATCTTGGTTGTAGGTTCTTGTTGTTCATCATTTTTAATATTTCTTGCCATTCCTGTCTGGCCTGCATAGTTTCTGTTGAGAAATAGGCTGATAGTCATATGGGTATTCCTTTGTAGGTAACTAGTTGTTTTTCTCTTGCTGCTTGTAAGATTTTCTCTTTGTCTTTTGCCCTTGGCATTTTAATTATGATTTGTCTTGGTGCGGTCCTCTTTGGATTCCTCTTGTTTGGAATTCTGTGCGCTTCCTGAACTTGTAGATCTATGTCTTTCACCAGGTAGGGAAAGTTTTCTGTCATTATTTCTTCCAAAAGGCCTTCAATATCTTGCTCGCTCTCTTCTTCTGGCACCCCAAAAATCCGGATGTTGGTACGCTTTAAGCTGTCCCAGAGGCTCCTTATGCTATCCTCACACTTTTGGATTCTTTTTTCTTTTTGCCTCTCTAGTTGGGTGATTTTTGCTTCCTTATATTCCAGATCTTTGGTTTGATTCTTGGAGCACGTTGATCTACAGTTGAGTTTCTGTATATTCTTTATTTCAGACTGTGTATGCTCAATTTCTGGCTAATCCTTTTCCATTTTTTTGGTATTCTCATTAAGGTCTTCGAAGGTCTCACAAAGCTCCTTGGAGGTCTCATCCAATTTCTCAAAGGTTTTCAGAAGATTCTTGAGTAACCTTATAAATGTGATTCTGAACTCTGTGTCATCCAGTAGTTTACTTTCCTCCATCTCTCCCATTCGTGACATGCTTCTGTGTCTCCTCGTTTTGGCTGCCTCCCTGTGTTGATGGAGTGGCTTTGTGTGGTCGGTGACCTACAGGGGTCAGTAGCTCAGCTTCCCCAATCACCTGAGGTGGTCGCTTTTGCTATATAAAGGAAGAACTGCTGTGCTGGAGACGCGCCTTGTTTCAGTGGGGCTTTGGTGCTCACTGAGGCCGCCTCCCGAATGTGTCACTCATGGATGTGAGGGGTTAAAACTGAGCCCTAGGAGCACTGGCTTCTGGATCCTCTCCAATGGCATGCAGTTCAACTACTGCACCCTGCAGGAGCTACTGCGTGAACCACAGTCCTCTCCTCCTTTGCTAGGTTAAACTGCAGCTGAGAGGGCCATTCATATGCAAAAGCCGCTGCTTGGAGCTTGGATATGTTGTGAGGGATGTAGTCTCAGGGCATCACTGGGCTGGGGTGTTGCAAACAGCAATGGCTGCCTGTCAGCTGCCTCTTCGATCTGTGTCCCCCTGTCTCAGAGTCTCCCCATGTCTCGCACCACAGCACAGCAAACAAATATTCTTTTTTTTTATGATTGTTTTATTTTATTTTTTTATTCATTTTTTAATATATTTTATTGATTTTTTTTTGCCCCCCTCCCTCCCTCCTACACATCCCCTCCCTCCCCAGAGTTTTGTGTCCATTGGTTGTACTTATATGCATGTATAAAAGTCCTTCGGTTGATCTATTATCTCCCCCAGATCTTCCTCCCCTCCCCGCTGTAATTTGACAGTCTACTTGTTGATATACTGTCTCTATATCTATCTTTTGGTTCATCAGTTTATAATGCTCTTTATTATCCACAAATGAGTGAGGTCATGTGGTGTTTCTCTTTCATTGATTGGCTTATTTCACTCAGCATGACAAACAAATATTCTTGCTCAAAGCTCTGCAAGCCTGCCACCCTCACCTTCCCACCCGATGGCAGGCAGTCTAGCCTCTCCCCAGAAACTGGACTTCAGAGAGATCGGGAGCTTGTCTCTCTTCGGGTTGAAAAAAGCACCACCCTCCGCCAGCTGGGATCTGCCACCAGCCCGTTTCGCGTCCGCGCCCCCCTACCGCCGTTTTTCAGCGCTTGCGCCCTGGCTTCTCCTCTTTCTCTTTCAGTCTACCGTGTTTCCCCGAAAATAAGACATCCTCCAAAAATAAGACCTACTTACAGGTTTCCTTCTGAGTGAAATATAAGGCATCCCCCAAAAATAAGGCCCCCCCTAGGCTAAACATGAGAGATTTGGTCCACTGATTCTGAAAGAAATGGAGTCACAAGAAATTCACCAGGAAATTCCAGAAGATGATGGCATGATTGTCATTGAATAAATGAGTAAATTCTTGATACTGTAGGATTCACGGTTTGTCTGGTTTGTGTTGACAACTACCGTACTACCGTACCGCATACAGGTAATAAATTTCCTTTATTTTCATTTAACAATCAATGTGTACCGTATTCTTCTTCATGGAAAAATAAGACATCCCCTGAAAATAAGACCTAGCGCATCTTTGGGAGCAAAAATTAATATAAGACACTGTCTTATTTTCGGGGAAACAGGGTAGTTGTGGGGCTTCCTCTCAGCCAGCTTTCCCTTGGGTGTAGAGTGATAGACGTTTTATTTTACAGTTGTATATTTATTTTACAGTTGTATATTTGAATCGTCGTGCACCGCAGCAGATTAGGTGTGTTTACCTATGCCGCCATCTTCGTTCTCTCCCTGTAAAAATATATTTTTTAAAAGAAAGAAAAATTACCATAGGGTGGTCTCTCGGTCCCTCACCAGCCCCAGGACCCCACCGAGGGTCTCCGAGTCAGCAACCTCACGTCTATATCCTCCTCCTCCCACAGCCCCCACCCCCTTTATAGCTCTTCCTTTACAGCTCCCCAGCGCCATTCCCAAAGTCCTAGCAGACCAGGGACCCCCAGGGCACCAGCCCCCAGCGGGACACACCCAGGACCGGGCAGCCCGGGGCTCTGAGCCCTGACACAGGCCGCCCACAGCCCCGCCCAGCAGGACGGGGACTCCCCCTCCTGCCCCGCGAGGCTGAGTGCACAGCCGCCCTGCCGCCCACATCCCCCTGCGGCTTCCTGCCGCCGCCCACAGCCACACACACACACACACACACACACACACACACACACACACAGGGGGGCCGGGCTGTGCAGGGGGAGGCCCACGGGCCTGGGTGCGGCCGGGGGGTCGGGCTGCGCAGGGGGAGGCCCACGGGCCTGGGTGCGGCCAGGGGGCCGGGCTGGGCAGGGGGAGGCGGGCGGCGTCAGGAGGCCGAATCCCGCCTGCAGAGCCCACGGGGACCACCGTGGACGGAGCCCCAGGCCCCCGTCCAGCCTGAGACCGCAGTGGCCGTGTCTGGTCCCTCCTGCTGGCCTGGGGGATGGGGACAGCGTCTCCTCCCGGGTGCTCCTCTGTGGCCGCTGCTGTGCATCGTGGCCGGAGGCTGTCTGTCCATTGATGTTTAGAGACAGTGGAGGGAGTGGAGGGAGGGGGAGACACAGGGAGAGAAACACCCGTGGGAGACGGAACAGGTGTTCCTGCAGAGTTAACGGTGCTGGTGCCGATGGGGAAGGTTTTTCAGGCTCCAGCGCCCTCTGCCGTCGGTGTGGTGAAGTGCAGGTTCTTGTTAGGGGAAGAGGTTTCTGTGCAAAACCTCAATTTCCCCTTTTTTCTCCTTTTTCCCTGACCCTGCAGAGTTCACAGCGTGCCCGTCCTCTAGTTTCTTTTTTTATGTGTATTTTTTATTGATTTTTACAGAGAGGAAGGGAGAAGGATAGAGAGAAACATCGATCAGCTGCCTCCTGCACACCCCCCACTGGGGATGTGCCCGCAACCAAGGTGCATGCCCTTGACCGGGATCGAACCTGGGGACCCTTGAGTCTGCAGGCCGACGCTCTATCCACTGAGCCACACCGGCCAGGGATGGACATAACTCTTAGGAGCCACCATCAACCCGCCCCAGACGCCCCGCCTCAGGGTGACGTGGCCCCTGGAGAGGGTCACCCGTCAGGCAGGGTCACCCGTCAGTCCCTCCACCAGAGCGGGGTGTCTGCTGGGCCACAGCGCCCAGCCTGGGGGCGAACACCAGCCCGTGGGCAGGGCACCCGGCCAGCGCCTGCCACCAGCAGCCGGGCCTCCAGGCTCAGGCCCCAAAGAGCCTCCGAAAGCTTCACCCCGACGTGGGTGCCTTCCTGTGAAGCATGCACCCCGCCCCCCACTAACCTAACCCCCAACTTCCTCCTCCGGCCGCTGGTGTCGGCCACAGTCCCGTCTGGGCGGCTGTGGGTTTGAGGTGGTTTCAGACCGGGTGTCACCACTTTCGCTCGGAGCCTCCGGGGTCAGGAGGAGGGTGACAGCCCCGTGTGTGACAGTGTCTGCGGTCTGAGGTTCCCCGCTTCCGAAAAGGAAGCGGATGTCGGTCTGAGGGGGTTGTGGCTCCCAGCCGCCAACCGCCAACCGCCTGCAGGTGGCTGAGGGCCAGGCTGGCCGCCCTGTGTTCCTCTGCACCCGTAGCCATCCCCCCAGGACAGAGGGCGCCCCCAGAACCAGACTGCATTCCGACCCTCCTCCTGCGGAGACACCCTCTGAATTTTTATTAAATATATTTTATTGATTTTTTTTTTACAGAGAGGAAGGGAGAGGGTTAGAGTTAGAAACATTGATGAGAGAGAATCATTGATCAGCTGCCTCCTGCTCACCCCCTACTGGGGATGGAGCCCACAACCCGGGCATGTGCCCTTGACCGGAATCGAACTTGGGACCCTTCAGTCCACAGGCTGAGCCAAACCAGCCAGGGCAGGAGCCTTTTTATTATTATTATTGATTTCAGAGAGGAAGAGGGAAAGATGGAAACATCAATGACGAGGGAGAGTCATTGATCAGCTGCCTCCTGCCCCCCCCTCTCCTGGACATTGAGCCTGCAACCTGGGCATGTAGCCTGATGGGGAATCGAACCAGGTGACCCCCTGTCTCCTGGGTGGATGCTCAACCACTGAACCACACCGGCTCTAATGGTTATTTTTTGTGTGTTTTTTCTTTGTTTTAAATATATTTTATTGATTTTTTTACAGAAAGGAAGAGAGAGGGATAGAGAGTTAGAAACATCGATGAGAGAGAAACATCGATCAGCTACCTCCTGCACACCCCCTGCTGGGGATGTACATGCCCTTGACCGGAATCGAATCCGGGACCTTTCAGTCCACAGGCCGATGCTCTATCCACTGAGCCAAACCGGTTTTGGCTAATGGTTATTGTTTTTTAAATGTATGTGTATCCTGTTTCTTGGATACATTTTTACCAAGGGTTAAAAATAAATAAGAAAAAGAAACCTAGAATGTGAAGAGTAAGATCTAAAAAAAAAAAAAGGAAGAAATACATGAGCCGGTGGGGACTTCCCCACATGCAGGGAGGAAGTGAAGCCTGTGAGTCGGCTGGATTTCTATTATTTTTTATTAAAGAGCAAGTTTGAGAGTCCACGGGGCAAGGGAAGGCCGTGACCCCAGGCCGCCTGGGCCCCCAGCTGCAGCAGCTGGCGCGTTGCTCACCTGTCCAGGGGGGGGGGGTGAGACTTGGGGATAACGGGCCAGGTGTGTGCCAGCCTGGTCTCGGGGTACAGCCCCCCGCCCCCCACTACGACCCCTCCGTCCCCCACACCTGGCCAGGGCCCTCAGGAAACTCTCCCTGGCAGGAAACGCTCAGCACGCCATCCTGTGAGGTAGTCCGGGCCTTCTGCACCCTTTCCAGTTGGGGAAACTGAGGCTCAGAGAGGATCCCAGCGGCGTGCAAGGTCCCACGGGGGACGGTGAACTGGATCAGACACCCTGCCCCCCACCGTGGCCCAGGTGTCAGGGGGCGCTGGCTCCTTCCCCAGCAGCTCCCAGTTTAGGTTCCCAGTTTAGGCCGGTGGCCTGGCTCACCTGCGGCAGGCCCTGGCTCAGGTGCGCGCACCTGCAGCCCAGGCCACAGCGGCCAGAAGCCAGAGGGAGCATGGAAAGGCCGATGCTGCCATCTAGAGGGCGATGTGAGCATGGCAGCCAGCATTCCTCGGTCCATGCTGCCATCTAGCGGCCGCTGCGGGTACGGCAGGCAGGCAGGGTCCTTCATTTGACGGCTTGTCCAATGCTGCCACCTAGCGGCTGGCGTGGGCACGGCAGCCAGCCTTGGCCCTGCGGCTCCATCCTGATGGTTTGTTTCACACCTGCTCCCAGGTATTTTGGGGGGATGTGGGAGGGGACCCCCTACGACACCTTCAAGCCCACCAGGCGGGCGCTCTCCGCCCAGAGCCGCCGGGCCACCTCGTCATCCTCAGCCTCGGGGGCCGGCGCCTTCTCCCGGAGTCCGTCGAAGTACTTCCCGGAGACGCCCTCCAGGTCCTCGGCCACGGCCAGGTAGGTGCTGGTCTGCGCCGCCAGCTGGGGGCTCTTCACCAGCAGCCAGAAGATGGGCCCTGCAACCGGCCCCAGAGCGCTCAGTCCTCAGGCATCAGCGAGGGGGACCCCAAAGGCCCGACTCCACCCCAATTCGCAGGGCCCGGGCAGGCCAGAGGTGTGCAGGGAGTCCCACTGAGCCCCCCTCCGGGCCTCTGCTCCTGCGGCTCCCTCCCCTTCCCTCCCCCAGGAAGCCCTCCTGGGTTTTCCCAGGCAAATGGAGGCTCTCCCTCCTGTCCATCAGCCCCGAGTCCCCACCATACCCCACCTTGCTCTAAAATCGCTTTTTGTTGTTGTTAGTCCACCCCCGAGGATATTTTTCTATTGATTTTTTAAATATATATTTTATTGATTTCTTACAGAGAGGAAGGGAGAGGAATAGAGAGTTAGAAACATGGATGAGAGAGAAACATTGGTCAGCTGCCTCCTGCACACCCCCCCCCCCCCCACTAGGGATGTGCCCGCAACCAAGGACTGAAGGGTCCCAGGTTCGATTCCGGTCAAGGGCATGTACCTTGGTTGTGGGCACATCCCCAATAGGGGGTGTGCAGGAGGCAGCTGATGCATGCTTCTCTCCCATCAATGTTTCTAACTCTATCCCTCTCCCTTCCTCTCTGTAAAACATCAATAAAATATATATTTTTTTAAAAAAAAAGATACTACAAATCCTGCACCTGATCAGTGTTCCCCTTTGCACCGGCTGACAGAAAGCTCAGGGCAAATAGCGGGTTGATCTCCAGCAGAAGTCTGGAATACGTTTGGTGCCCATTGGAAATACCAAAACACCGAGTGGCCGGATGATTATGCGTTCAGAGACCATCATCACCTGGTCGCTCAGTGTATATCCCACTGGCCTTAATGCCCTGCAGGAGGTTCCCGGGCCCCAGGCTGGAGGGCAGGGACTTGGCGAGGGCACCTGGGGCCGGGAGAGCAGGGCTCGGCGAGGGCACCTGGGGCCGGGAGAGCAGGGCTCGGCCAGGGCACCTGGGGCCGGGAGAGCAGGGCTCGGCGAGGGCACCGGGCCAGAGGGGGCCAGGAGGGGGCTCACCGAGCGTGAAGCTGGAGAAGGCGGAGCTGTGCATGCCCGTGTGCCGGCCCAGCTCCGTCCGGGCCACGCCGGGGTGCAGCGCGTTCACCGTCACGCCCGTGCCTGGGGGAGGAGGGAAAGATAGGGGTCGGGGGCAGAGGGCTGTCAGGTTCGCTCCTTCCCGGCAAGCCTGACGCTGTCCACCCCGAGCTCCGGGGCGGCCCGTTTCCTGCCCTTGAACCCGCATCGCCTTGCTGCTCTGAAACCAGGAGGTCTCATCGTGCGAGGTGGCTCTGTCACATGGAGCATCGGGGAACCCAGGCCCCCGGCCCCGCCCCTGGAGGAGGGTCTGACAGGCTCCCAGGTGAGCGGCTCTGCTGGCCCCACCCCCTCCACGAGAAGCGAGGGCGAAGGGCGGATCTGCACCCTCCGCACTGTGGACGCCGAGGTCCAGCCACTCTGTAACCCGTGCCCTGGAGGTGCCCAGGGCGCCCCCGGCTTCTGTCCACGAGAGGCAAGTAGCAACGCCCACCCCCGCAGTGACAGCCGGAAGCATCTCCAGATGTTGCCAGAGGTCCCCTGGCCTGGAGCACCAGAGGCTTCCAGGCCAGTCCTGGAGGAGCAGGGAAGATGGTGTGATTGATTAGTGATGTCTGCTCAGGCACCAGGGGGGAGCCTGGTGCTGTGTGATTGATTAGTGATGTCTGCTCAGGCACCAGGGGGGAGCCTGGTGCTGTGTGATTGATTAGTGATGTCTGCTCAGGCACTAGGGGGCAGCCTGGTGGTGTGTGATTGATTAGTGATGTCTGCTCAGGCACCAGGGCAGAGCCTGGTGCTGTGTGATTGATTAGTGATGTCTGCTCAGGCACCAGGGAGGAGCTTGGTGCTGTGTGATTGATTAGTGATGTCTGCTCAGGCACCAGGGGGGAGCTTGGTGCTGTGTGATTGATTAGTGATGTCTGCTCAGGCACCAGGGCAGAGCCTGGTGCTGTGTGATTGATTAGTGATTTCTGCTCAGGCACCAGGGGGGAGCCTGGTGCTGTGTGATTGATTAGTGATTTCTGCTCAGGCACCAGGGGGGAGCCTGGTGGTGTATGATTGATTAGTGATGTCTGCTCAGGCACCAGGGGGGAGCTTGGTGCTGTGTGATTGATTAGTGATGTCTGCTCAGGCACCAGGGGGGAGCCTGGTGGTGTGTGATTGATGAGTGATGTCTGCTCAGGTACCAGGGGGGAGCTTGGTGCTGTGTGATTGATTAGTGATGTCTGCTCAGGCACCAGGGGGGAGCCTGGAGGTGTGTGATTGATTAGTGATGTCTGCTCAGGCACCAGGGAGGAGCTTGGTGCTGTGTGATTGATTAGTGATGTCTGCTCAGACACCAGGGGGGGAACCTGGTGGAGTGTGATTGATTAGTGATGTCTGGTTCAGGCACCAGAGGGAAGCCTGATGGTGTGTGATTGATTAGTGATGTCTGTTGCAGGCACCAGGGCAGAGCCTGGTGGAGTGTGATTGATTAGTAATGTCTGCTTCAGATACTGGTGGGAGCCTGGTAGGGTGTGATTGATTAGTGATGTCTGCTCAGGCACCAGGGGGAGCCTGGTGGTGTGTGATTGATTAGTGATGTCTGTTGCAGGCACCAGGGCAGAGCCTGGTGGTGTGTGATTGATTAGTGATGTCTGCTTCAGGCACCAGGGGGGAGCCTGGTGGAGTGTGATTGATTAGTGATATCTGCTTCAGGCACCAGAGGGAAGCCTGATGGTGTGTGGTTGATTAGTGATGTCTGTTGCAGGCACCAGGGAGGAGCCTGGTGGTGTGTGATTGATTAGTGATGTCTGCTCAGGCACCAGGGGGGAGCCTGGTGGAGTGTGATTGATTGGTGATGTCTGCTCAGGCACCAGGGGGGAGCCTGGTGGTGTGTGTCATGCATCTGCCTCGTGTGTCCTGGAGCCCATGCCTGACCTCCCATCAGCCCGGGGTCACAGCGGACCACTCCAGGCTCAGGGCCACAGGAAGAGGCACGGCACACACGCACCTTGCAGCCTGCGGCTCAGCTCCCTGGTGAAGAGGACGATGGCCAGCTTGCTCTGGCAGTAGGCTGCCTTCGTATTGTACTTCCTCTTCTCCCAGTTCAGGTCATCGAAGTCGATGTGCCCAGCCACGTGGGCCAAGGACGAGAGGTTGATGATCCGCGAGGGGGCCGAGGCCTTCAGCTTGTCCAGCAGTAAGTTTGTCAGGAGGAAGTGGCCTGGATGAAGGAGGACACAGAGAGAACCGTCCTTCAAGTCTGACCACGTGCCCAGAGTGGGCTGAGTACACACCTGATCTCACCCTCCCAATAATGCGTGGTTCTCGCCCAGAATTAGCATGGCCCCAGGGGACATCTGGTACCATCTGGAGACAATTTTGCTTGTCACAACTGTGGAGAGTAGGGGCACCACTGCCATCTAGTAGGTGGAGGCCAAGCATGCTGCTCCACATCTCACAATGCACAGCAAGGTCCCGGCAAAAAAAAAACTAACCAGCCCCAAATGTCCAGCCCTCTGAGGTCAGCTGTGGAGGAAACAGCCTTCCACCTCCCAATAATTTTTCTCCACTTCTTCTTCAGTAAATAGAACTTTCGGCAGGGCCCACGACGGGCCAGTGAAAGACTACATTTCCCAGGCTCCTTTGCAACCAGATTGTGACTGAGTCCCAGCCAATAGGGTGCAAATGAGTGTGTGTGTGTGTGTGTGTGAAGGGTTGAGTTGTGTCTCCCTACTCCCCATCCCCCAAAGAAATATGTTGAGGTCCTACCCTCCAGAACCACAGAATGTGACCCTGTTTGGAGAGATAATTAAGTTAAAGTAAAGGTCATTAGGGTGGATCCTGACCCAATATGTCCCATGGTCCCCTGGCCCTTCCTAACAGAACCCCAGGTACATGCAGGGTGATGACGGAAAGACTGATGGCCCTGACCGGTGTGGCTCAGTGGATAGAGCATCGGCCTGCAGACTGAAGGGTCCCAGATTCGATTCCCAGTCAAGAGCATATCCCTGGGTTGTGGGCTCAGTCCCCAGTGTGGGGCATGCAGGAGGCAGCCGGTCCATGGTTCTCTCTCATCATTTTTGTTTCTATCTCTCTCTCCCTCTCCTTTCCTCTCTGGAATCCATAAAAATATTTTTTTTTTTAATTTTTTTTTTAAAGTGGAGCCCAAACCGGTTTGGCTCAATGGATAGACCGTCAGCCTGTGGACTGAAGGGTCCCAGGTTCGATTCCAGTCAAGGGCATGTGCCTTGGTTGTGGGCACATCCCCAGTGGGGGGTGTGCAGGAGGCAGCTGATGGGTGTTTCTCTCTCCTCGATGTTTCTAACTCTCTGTCCCTCTCCCTTCCTCTCTGTAAAAATCAATAAAATACATTTAAAAGAAAGAAAGTGGACACCCCCTCCCAGACCCGCGCCCCACCCCCCGGCTCCCGTCCCGGCGTGCCCAGCACGGCCTCACCCAGGTGGTTCACGCCCAGCTGCATCTCGAAGCCGTCCTCCGTGGTCCAGTGCGGGCAGCGCATCACGGCCGCGTTGTTGATGAGCACGTGCACCTTCTCTTCCTCTGGAAGACAGGGCCGGGGCGGGTGCGTCAGCCCCGGGGCCGCACGCCGTCCCCCAACACCCCCCATCCCCGGACCCTGGGCCCGGGCCTTCCTGTGGAGGCGGGGTCTTCGCGGAAGTAACCGAGTAAAGATGAGGTCACGGGATCCGCATCCAACTCATCCAACAGGACCAGCGTCCTCCCAGGAAAGGGGAGTCTGACCGAAACCGGTGTGGTTCAGTGGGTAGAGCATCGGTCTGCAGACTGAAGGGTGCCGGGTTCGATTCCGGTCAAGGGCATGGACCTTGGTTGAGGGCACATCCCCAGTGGGGGGTGTGCAGGAGGCAGCTGATAGATGTTTCTCTCTGGTCAATGTTTCTAGCTCTCTCTCTCCCTCTCCCTTTCTCTCTGTAAAAAATCAATAAAATATATTTTTTTTAAAAAGAAAGAAAACTCGCCAGCACCAGTTTGGTTCAGTGGATAGAGCATCAGCCTGCAGACTGAAAGGTCCCGGGTTCGATTCCGGTCAAGGGCATGGACCTTGGTTGCGGGCACATCCCCAGTGGGTGGGGGGGGTGCAGGAGGCAGCTGATGGATGTTTCTCTCTCATCGACGTTTCTAACTCTCTATCCCTCTCTCTTCCCCTCTGTGAAAAATCAATAAAATATATTTTAAATAAATAAAAAGAAAGAAAACTTCACCCTTCAGCAGGGGAAACGTTAGCAGTGAGTCCCTGAGGTTGGTGGGGAGTCAAAGGTGTTTACTTCTTCATCACTATTCCGGGATTTAGCAATTTCCCATGAGGAGCATGCATCTCTTCGCATCGCGCTCCTCTGTGTCCCGCCAGCTGCCCTGCTGTTACTTCACAGGCAGCCGGTGGACGGGAAGAGCCTGCCTCCGAGGTGTGCAGACACCGTCACACGCGAGTCAAATGACACGGACACGAGGTCGGACGTTCACAGCAGCCGAGGGAGGGCTGGCTGCCCAGCGGCCGGAACCCGTCAGACCACACGAGGGAGCCCAATACCGTGCAGCCACATTAAAACTCAAAGAGATAAAATGTAGCCACAAGAAATGAGCCCTGACCGGTGTGGCTCAGTGGATAGAGCGTCAGCCTGTGGACTCAGGAGTCCCGGGTTCGATTCCGGTCAGGGGCATGTACCTTGGTTGCGGGCACATCCCCAGTAGGGGGTGTGTAAGAAGCAGCTGATCGATGACTCTCTCTCCTCGATGTTTCTAACTCTCTATCTCTCTCCCTTCCTCTCTGTACAAAATCAATAAAATATATTAAAAAAAAAAAAAAAAAAAAAAGACCAGACCCTAGCCCTAGCTGGTTTGGCTCAGTGGATAGAGCGTCAGCCTGCGGACTGAAAGGTCCCAGGTTCCATTCCAGCCAAGGGCATATTCTCGGCTCGATCCCCGGGGGGGGGGGGGGGGGGGGGGGGCGGGTGCAGGAGGCAGCCGATCCATAATTCCTCTCATCATTGATGGTTCTATCTCTCTCTCCCTCTCCCTTCCTCTTTGAAATCAATAATAATATATATTTTTTAAAAAGGACCAGGCCCTAGCCCTGGTTTAATAATAATAATTATTATTATTATTATTATTACATATATATATATATTTTTTTTTTTTTTTTTTTATTTATTTTTTAAGGGACCAGGGACAGTAGAGATTCCTGGCTTTGTGAGCTTAAGGGACGGGCCTGGTTTAATTCCTGGGTCCTCAGAGCCTGCTCCCCCCCCCCCCCCCCCCCCGCCCAGGCCTCCCCACACAGCCCGCGCCCTGCCGCCTACCCTCAGTGATCTTCTTGGCGAACTCCCGGACGGACTTCAGCGAGGCCAAGTCCAGGTGCCGGGCGTTGACGCGGTGGTTCAGGGTCTCCCCGCGGATCTCCCTGGCCGCCGCCTCGCACTTCTCCATGTCCCGGCAGGCCAGGATGACGTTCCCGCCTGGAAGCCCAGGACAGGAAAAATTAAAATAACATAAACCCCTGGCCGGCGTGGCTCAGTGGACAGCGCATCGGCCTGCGGACTGAAAGGCCTCAGGTTTGATCCCCAGTCAGGGGCACACGCCTGGTTGCGGACTTGATCCCAGTGTGGGGCAGGCAGGAGGCAGCCAATACATGATTCTCTCTCATCATGGATGTTTCTTTCTCTCTCTTTCCCTTCTTCTCTCTAAAAATCAATAAAAACATACACACACACACACACACACACACACACAGACACACACACACACTAGAGGCCCAGAGCTCAAAATTCATACTGGGGGGTCCCTCTGCCCGGCCTGCACCCTCTCCAATCCAGGACCCCTCAGGGGATGTCCGACTGCATCTCGCAATCCGGGGCCACTGGCTCTTAACTGCTTGCCCACCTGCCTTCCTGACTGCCCCTAACCTCTTTGCCTGATTGCTGATCGCCCCTAACTGCTCCCCTGCCTGCAGATCGCCCCTAACTGCTCCCCTGCTGGCCTGATCGCCCCTAACCCCTTTGCCTGATTGCTGATGGCCCCTAACTGCTCCCCTGCCTGCAGATCGCCCCTAACTGCTCCCCTGCTGGCCTGATCGCCCCTAACCCCTTTGCATGATTGCTGATCGCCCCTAACTGCTCCCCTGCCTGCAGATCACCCCTAACTGCTCCCCTGCTGGCCTGATCGCCCCTAACCCCTTTGCCTGATTGCTGATGGCCCCTAACTGCTCCCCTGCTGGCCTGATCGCCCCTAACCCCTTTGCATGATTGCTGATCGCCCCTAACTGCTCCCCTGCTGGCACCCCTAACTGCTCCCCTGCTGGCCTGCTCGCCCCTAACTGCCTCTGCCTCACCCCATACCTGAGACCCAGGATTCCCTCCTCCAGCCAGTCGCTGGCACCAGGGACCAGGGCATCCCTCCCTCTGTCCGGCAGCAGCCACCCAGGACCCAGACCGACTCTGTCTGGACCACAGCTGCAGGTGCCCGGGACCACGGGGCAGGCGGCTTGTCCCTCTCCCAGGCCACAACCTGGCTGGTCCCCATTCCCCTCCCCCCAGTGCTGAGTGTCTGAGCTTTTACGGGGAGGGCAGAGGGCGTGAGGGCGTGTGACTGTTTGCATATTAGCTCTTTATTCTATGGGATTTACTGCATTTCCTGTGCTGCACGTTACACCCGTGACTGTGGACTTGTCCCTCCCTGCCCCCCAGCCCCCAGTCCCCTAACCCCCCCCCCCGCCCCCTTGGCCCCCCTCGCCCTGCCATGGGACTCACCTCTCCTGGCCAGCTCCAAGGCGGTCTCCCGCCCGATGCCCGTGTTGGCGCCCGTGATGATGACGGTCTTGCCCTGAAGGGTGGCCTTGCTGGGGCAGGCCCCGCCCGCGACATAGTCCCTGAAGGCAAGAGAGAGCCCCTCCCTCAGCTCCACCTGCAGGACCGCGCACCGCAGTGACCCCACCTCTGAGCTGTGTTCCCCGAAGGGTCCCGGGTTGGAGAGGGTGCAGGCTGGGCTGAGGGGGACCCCTGAGCATGAATTTCATGCACCAGGTCTCTAGTATTTTTAATTAAAAAAAAACACTTCCATCACCACAGTAAGTTCTACTGAACAGCGCTGCTATAGAGCAGCTGGTAGCTGTTCTTTGGGGTTTGTTGGTGGTGGTTTTTGTTGGTTTTTTTAATTGTCTAAAGTTTTACATGTCTCCCTTTTCTCCAATTGGCCCGCCCCCGCCCCCCGGCCATTCCCACGCCGCCATTCTCGGAGAAAGGGAACCGTCACATGACCTCACTTATAGAGACAAATGGCAGGGAGGGTGGGGAGGGCCTTAGAGAGCAACCAAAGGACTTGCACGCATGCCTATCAGCATAACCGGTGGGTTTGTTTTGTTTTTTAAGTGAGCTTACACACGCGCACACACACACACACACACACACGCACGCACGCACAAACACACGCACGCACGCACGCACGCACACACGCACACACACGCACACACAGAGACACACACACACGCACACACACGCACACACGCGCGCGCGCACACACGCAGGCACGCACAAACACACACACACGCACGCACGCACACGCACACACGCGCGCGCACACACACGCACAAACACACACACACACACGCACACGCACACACACACGCACACGCACACACACGCACAAACACACACACACACACACACACACACACACGCACGCAACACGAGCTTTTCCTGCGGGGAGCTGCACAATTCTCCCTGTTCCCCTCATGGCGGATTGGAGAGTTTAGGGGGCACACACGCTTTCCCTCGCACCCCGGGCCAGCGGGTGACACAGGGGACAGCTCCATGACTGAATTCACTGCGGAATGAATGAATTCGCCGGTGAGAAGCCCGGAAGCCGCTAGACCCGCCTGTTTCCTCTGCGTGACCTTGGGGTGACCTGCCCTCTCGGGGCTCCGGGGCGTCCCCACGTCCCCCGGGGGGCGCTGCAGGCCGGGGCTGGCTGGCGGGCGAGCACTCGGTGGTCCCCGCCCGGCCCCCCCCTCCCCCGGCTGCAGACACCGGAGCCGGCGCGCACTCACCGGAGCAGCACGGCGCCGCCCACCGCCGTGCCCAGCACGGACACGGGCACCAGGTAGCGGTTCATGCCGGGCACAGCCGCCGCGCGATCGCTCCAAGGAGCCTGCGACCCGGGATCCACGTGGGGACGGGCAGGCGGCGGGGCTGGATCCGCGGACTTCCTGAAAGGGGCGTGGCTTGGCGCGGCGTGGCTGGCAGGGGGCGGGGCTTCCAGGGCAAGACCTATGGGGGGTGGGTGTGAGCGCTACGGCTGCTGGGAAATGTAGTTTACTAGGCTGTGGGCGTGGGTGACGGGGGCGGGGCTTCCAGGGCAAGACCTAAGGGGGTGGGCCGTGAGCGCTACGGCTGCTGGGAAATGTAGTTTTCTGGGGTGTGGGCGTGGCCAAGGGTTGTGTTGTTGCTAGGGGCGGGGCCTGCGCGGTGTTGGGATGGCGTCATTCTCGTCCTGCTGCAAAGCGCAGCTCAGTTCTGGGGTGAATCCAGGATTCCAATCCTGAGGCTGCCGCTTCAGGACTGTCCCTCTGGGTGTCTTTCTAATACATCAGCCTGCTGCGTCGTCTAAAAATGTGTTTAGATCTTCCTCACAGACGCGATGGCAGAATTTTAGGATTCCGATGCTCAGAAACCAAGACCAGTATACTAGCCTCGGGTTTCCAAACTCCTGGGTCTGAGGGAGGAGGGGCTGGGGGCTTGGACTCCTGGGTCTGAGGGAGGAGGGCTGGGGGTCTGGGCTCCTGGGTCTGAGGGAGGAGGGCTGGGAGCTGGGCTCCTGGGTCTGAGGGAGGAGGGCTGGGGGCCTGGGCTCCTGGGTCTGAGGGAGGAGGAGGGCTGGGGGCCTGGGCTCCTGGGTCTGAGGGAGGAGGGCTGGGGGCCTGGGCTCTTGGGTCTGAGGGAGGAGGGCTGGGGGCCTGGGCTCCTGGGTCTGAGGGAGGAGGGGCTGGGGGCCTGGGCTCCTGGGTCTGAGGGAGGAGGGCTGGGGGCCTGGACTCCTGGGTCTGAGGGAGGAGGGGCTGGGGGCCTGGGCTCCTGGGTCTGAGGGAGGAGGGCTGGGGGCCTGGGCTCCTGGGTCTGAGGGAGGAGGGCTGGGGGCCTGGGCTCCTGGGTCTGAGGGAGGAGGGCTGGGAGCCTGGACTCCTAGGAGGGTCTGAGGGAGCAGGGCAGATGACTGGGAGAGAATTTGAGGGGAATTGGAGATAGTCTCTATCTTCATCCTACGGATGGTTATACACCTGACTGCATACATTTGACAAGTTTCAGAGTTCACTTACAAATAGTGAATGCTGCCCTAACCGGTGTGGCTCAGTGGATAGAGCGTCGGGCTGCGGACTGAAGGATCCCTGGTTCAATCCCCGTCAAGGGCATGTACCTTGGCTGCAGGCACATCCCCAGTGGGTGGTGTGCAGGAGGCAGCTGATTGATGTTTCTCTCTCATCAATGTTTCTAACTCTCTCTCCCTTCCTCTCTGTAAAAAAATCAATAAAAAATATATTTTTTTAAATAGTGAACGCATTACATGCCAATCACACTGCGATAAAGCTGGCTATAAAGAAAAACAGCCCCTGGAGACGTTTAGGGTTTTTGTTTTGGAAATAACTTGGCAACAAGTGCTTGGTATGATTTGTGATTGGATCGGATTTGTCAGCAATCAGCAGACATACTTGAGAACGCTTTGAAGTGAAAAATGTCGGACTAATAAAGTGTTTCTAACTGTCCCAAGAGTTTTTTTAATATTGGCTCGGACAATGAAGCGGACAGTTGACGTAATGTTTTGTTTTCTAAACGTGGAGTGAAATGTGTTCGCTTTGGTTCTGCGGCTTTTATAGTTTAGAGGTAATGACTTTCCTTCATTGAGAGGTGTGTCTTCTTTCTGGAGTGGGCTGGTAAGCTCTGGGCCCAGGCTCTGTTATTGGAAATTCAGTCTAGGCATGAGGGAACGCTTCCCAGAGAAAGGGGAACCTTCCCAGAGAAAAGTAGGGTTTTGCAGTATGAGTAGGAGTTCTTCAAAGGGACCAAGTAGAGGGGTGGAATGGCACATGCAAAAGCTAGCAGTCAGAAGGCAACTTGCTTGGGGAGTGCCCAATATTTCACATCATAGGAGGTTGGTTCGAAGGAGGAGGCAGCTGGCAAGACATGTGGCTGAAGAGAAAATTTTTAAATTAAAAAATAATAATAATAATAATAATATCAGATGCTGCCCTGGCTGGGTGGCTCAGTTAGGTGGAGCATCATCCTGTGCACGAAAAGGTTTGATTCCCAGTTAGGGCACATATGGGAGACAACCAATCTATGTTTCTCACATTGATGTTTCTCTCTCTCCCTCCCTCCCTCTCTCCCTCCCTTCTTTTTTTAAAAAAATATATTTTTATTGGTTTCTTACAGAGAGGAAGGGAGAGGGATAGAGAGTTAGAAGCATTGATGAGAGAGAAACATCCATCAGCTGCCTCTTGCACAAGATGAGCCCACAACCAAGGTACATGCCCTTGACTGAAATCAAACCCGGGACTCTTCAGTCTACAGGCCGACACTCCATCCACTGAGTCAAACTGGTTTTGGCTTCTTCTTCTTCTTCTTCTTCTTCTTCTTCTTCTTCTTCTTCTTCTTCTTCTCTCTCTCTCTCTCTCTCTCTCTCTCTCTCTCTCTCTTCATTCCTCTCTCTAAAAGTCAATAAAAACATATGCTCTGGTTAGAATTTAAATAAATGAATAAAAATAATACCAGATACTATTTCTTGAGTACCCAGTATGTGCCAAGTGTTTCACGGATACCACGAACCAAAGAACCAAAGAACAGGTTTGCTGTTGAGGATGCAGTAAGGGTGGCTGGGTCTGGTGAGAGTCCTCTCCCCTTTCTGAGATTGTGGGAACTCAGAGCTCCTGGGCAGTGGAGGGGCAGCGCCAGGGGCTGGAAAAGGTGCCGCGGAGGCTGTGGTGAAGATCCCCAGACATGGATCTAGACAGATCTTGTTTCGCATTTCTGATCCACCTCTGCTTAGCTGCGTACCTTACGCAGCGACTTCCCCTCTCTCCACTTCGGGATCCTCTTACCCACCAAAATGAGGAAGGGCTGGTATCCTTAATATGTAAAGAGCTCTTATGAATCAATAAGAAGAAGAAAAAGCTTGCCTCCAACAGGGAGAGGGAGCACAGGCAGAGGACATGACAGGCAAAAATTTGCAAAAAATAAATATAAAAATAAAAGTGCGTTAACAAATGTAACAAAGCTGCTGAGCCTTTCTTGGAGTCAGAGGAAAGCTTCTTAGGATCATAACAACATATTTCTCGCCTATCAGATTGGCAGGCCCAAAACATTGATGATACCCAGTGTCGGCAAGGATGGGGCAAAACAGGTACACATACCAGCGGATGGGAGTGTCAGTTGAGTTACTGCAGACTTCCTAACAGCCATTCCGATACCTGGCAAAACCATCTGGGCATAGTTTGGATCCAGCCTTCCCCGTGTAAGAGTGTATGTAAATAATGAGTCCTTGGCCCTGACAGGTTTGGCTCAGTGGATGGAGCGTCAACCTGCGGACTGAAAGGTCCCGGGTTTGATTCCGTTTAAGGGTATGTACCTTGATTGCGGGCACATCCCCAGTGGGAGCTTTGCAGGAGACAGCTGATCAATGTTTCTGACTCTCTGTCCCTCTCCCTTCCTCTCTGTAAAATATCAATAAAATAAAATAAATTTTTTTAAAAGAAGAAGACGAAGGAGAAGGTTATTGAAATAAATATAGCATAAAATTAAAAAAAAAACTAGGCCCTAGAGTAATATATATATATATATATATATATATATATATATATATATATATATATACACACACATACATACATGCTCTGGCTGGTTTGGCTCAGTGGATAAGCATCAGCCTGCAGACTAGACCATCCCAGGTTTGATTCCGGCCAAGGGCACATGCCCCGTTTGTGAGCTCGATCCCCAGCAGGGGGTGTGCAGGAGGCAGCTGATCGATGTTTCTCTCTCATCGATGTTTCTGATTCTCTATCCCTCTCCCTTCCTCTCTGTAAAAAAAAGAAAAATCAATAACATATATTAAAATGAGACCTAAATAAATAAATAAATAAAACGTCAGAGGGCGTGGTCTGTGGTTGGCTGGCTCCTGTCCTAGACTTTGGGGGCAGCAGTGCAACTAGGACCTGACCCCCCGTGAGGGCCTGGGCACCCCTGGCTGCCGGTGTCATCATACAGGAGCAATGCACGCAGGTTCCTCCCGCTGGGCGCCGCCCACCCGGTTCCCAGACACACCCAGGATGTTTCCATCCGCCCTCTGACCTCCATAGGCAGGGCCTGTTTACATACCGGTGTGCATGTCCTTAATGCATGCCTGAGTGCTGGGCGCTGTCCCAGGTGCTGAGAGGATTTTCCCACAATGCCCTCTGGTTTCCCCATCCCGGCGTCCAAGTCTCTCTCTCTCTCTCTCCTCTCTCTCTCCCTCTCTCTCTCTCTCTCTCTCTCTCTCTCTCTCTCTCTCTCTCTCTCTCTCTCTCTCTCTCTCTCTCTCTCTCTCTCTCTCTCTCTCTCTCTCTCTCTCCTCTCTCTGAATCTGCTGTTTTTAGGAAATACATAAAGTTCTTACGGGTAAAGGGGTATCAAGGTTTTTAGGAGTAAAGGGATATCAAGCCTGCAACGACAAACAGTTGAGAGAAGAGGTGTGTGTGAGAGAGAGAGAAGGAGAGAAGGAGAGACAGAGAAAGAGAGAAAAATGAAGCAAAAGCACTCATGTTCACTGCTGACCTTGGGGAATGAATTTAGTATACAGGAATTCATATATATATATATATATATATATATATATATTATTGGGGTTTTTTTTACAGGAGGAAGGAAGAGGAAGGGACAGAGAGTTAGAAACATCGATGAGAGAGAAACATAGAGCTCGGGCCTGAGGACTGAAGGGTCCCAGGTTCGATTCCAGTCAAGGCACATGCCTGGGTTGCGGGCTGGATCCCCAATAGGGGGCGTGCAGGAGGCAGCTGATCCATGTTTTTCTCTCGTCGCTGATGTTTCTCTCTCTCCCTCTCCCTTCCTTTCTGAAATCAATATATATATATATGAGATCTGTCTTCCCCGCCTCGGAGCCCGCAGTTTCCGGAGCCCTGCCTTCCTCTGATCCCGCCCAGACAGCAAACAGCTGGGCC